ATTTCAAAAACTCAGTTCTTTGCCCGATTCTGCTTACGTGTCGCTAACCAATAGGCAGTACTTCTTCTCAGCCACACCTGGGCCAACTCAACTCACGTAATCCCTTAAAGATGGGGTGGAGCATACTACACCCTTGCAACACTGCCGCAGCTGGAAGTGAATTGGGATAACACCCAGCTGCAAAGCGCTCCAACAGGTTACACTGATCCAGGGAATGCTGGCTGCGTGGGGGAAAAATCAGCCACCCGGCTCTGCAACCTTGTTCATTGCACACACCGCATGGGCAGCTGCAAAAGAGCAGCATGGGCCAAAGATATAAGAAGACAGAGCTCCTTTAAGAAGTTTGCAGGCTCACAGGGAAATCAGCCCGTCGGGAAATGCTCCAGATTAGGAATGCGGCGGGAGAGATCGTTAGAGCCAATTACAAGGTAATTTGCCCAGCCCTGGTATTAAAGTTCTGGCAGAACCAGCTGGGAGCAGCCCAGCCCGGTGACTGTTTTGCTCCTCTACTTCTGGGAAGTTTGAGCTGCCAATCAGCAGAAAGGTGGTTTCGTTCCCCTGTTCTCCATTGGATGGAGACTGCATTGGAAGACCTAGGGTCAGACTTAGTTTGTGATCCAGCTAAGCTGTCAGTGAGTGTGATACAGATAGGCTGTAGCAACAGTCAGGATGTGTGTCTGAGTAGTGCCAGATTTCATGAACAAAACAGAGAGAGTCTCCCCCTTCTACAAAAACGCTTGAAAATGTGACCCCGAAATCCCCCAGGACTCAAACGGAAAGAGGTGGCTCTGATTCCTTTTTGGGGGCCAAAAAGCAGATTTTTTGCAGCACCTCCCTTGCTCACAATTGTATCTGCGTTTGAAGAGCAGGCCTGATTTTAAACCCTTCGGGGCCCAGAGAAGAAAGGCAAAGGGGCCTAGATGCAGAAACGACCCAGTTATTGAATGAATTGGAGCCAACGAATGAACAAGCTTCCCGGGGGAAGTCTCAGGATACTGGTTTGGGGCTCGGAGGGGGTGCATGAGAAGCTCTGGGAGGAGATGCATCCAATGCTGATTTTTAAAATATGAAACAAAGAAGCTTTCGGTACCGAGAGAAGTCAGACTCTTCTATGAGCTGGTCTGCCTGGCAGGATAATGAGGACTAGAGGGTTGGGATCACTCTAATTAATGCAAAGGGCATTAATTGGTCAAGGTAGATCGGGGTGGGAGGGGGCGTGAGGATTCACCCTCCCATGCTTTGTGAAATGGACTGACGGACATAAATGTATGTAACTCAAAGGTGCTTTGGACAAATTGCTTCATGTAACTGATCCATCTTCATGCTTTCATCCACGGGCTCCGTTTCTCTTGTTTTGGTGTGTGGCTCATTCTTGCCAACAGCCTTTCGTCCTTAGGTCTTAGCAGTAGTTGGTAGGGGGTGGCCAGGTGACTCCCCAAGCAATAAGGGAATCTTTAAAAAGAATAGGAAGGTCCGAGTCTTTTGCCTTTGGCTGGCTGGACACACCCCAGGAGGGTGAACCGGAGACCGCAGGGGAAGGGAGATTTCCCTGGTTTGAAGGTGCAGCTGGAACAGACACACTTTTAGCGTGAGTTTGTAATAAGTTCATATTGAGGTTTTAGTTAGAATTAACGAAGTGTTTTCTGTTATTTTTAATTTGTAATCTACTTTGCTCAGTCTGTTCTCACTTATAACCAGGGCTTGACAAATAGGCTAATCTACTCGCCCGTGGTGAGTAGATTATAGCCCGGTGCAGCCACACAGCGTGGTCTGCGCATGCGCAGTGTGCGCTTCCGCGCAGCTGGCAAGCAGGTCTCGCCGCTGCTTGGTGAGCCCTGCTTATAACCATTTAAATCCTGCTGCATCTCCTTAATAAAATCACTTTTACTTACCATCAAGTCCAGTGTGAACAATTATTATCTGGGAGAGCAACCAGTGTGCACACTCCCCCTTTCATTGCTAGAGGGACTTACCCAGCAATTCATTGGGGTTTGCTCCTCTTTAGGGAGGGATATCCCAGGAGTCTGGGCCCAAAACTGCACTCTCCTTGGACCTGAAGAGGTTGAGTGTCTGTGCTGCTTCTGGGGGGGGGGGGGGGGAATTGTGATCTCAGCTCAGTGCTTAGCCTGGGGGACCCAACAGGACCGAGCAGTGAGAAGCCCCAGCGAATGGGAATGCGAGTGGAAGTGGCCGTGTCAGCTCTCCAGGAATCACCCCCAAGGGGTCTTCTGTGACCGCACCCCATCACGGTGGGATCTTCCCAGCAGCGTGGGACCTGCCAGTGGTGACATGGAGGCAGCACTGCCTCCCCTCTGCAGATCTGTGTGTTGGTTTTTTAAATTCAGGGATGTTACTGGAGTTCACACAATGCTGAGAACCCAACTCGATGCAATCGCACAGCAAAGTGAGGGTCTAGATGCATGCAATGGTCTGCTGCAGGAGCAGTCTGCATTAGATGGTGGCTCAGAGGTGATACAGCATGGAGGAGACCATGACTGGAGTCTGTGCCCAGTCCTGGGGAAGGAGGGGGCTGCACATCAAACAGGATGTTGGGAAATAAGGGGAAGGGTCTGAGAAAAGTGATGGGAATAATCTAAGGGCTAGAAAACCAGCCTGAGAGCTGGGTACTGATGGAGCTGGATCAGTAGAGTTTCTCCTAGAGAAGGTTCAGAGGGGACTTGATCCCAGTGATTCCCTGGGGAGGAGATCTCAGGGAGCAGAGAACTGACACCTGGGAGATGAAGCCAAAGAAATCCAGAGTGGAAAGTAGAGGCACGTTTTACCCAGGGAGATTGACCCTGAGAATGACTGTCCCAGGGATGGGACACATACTTCATCAGAATCTCTTTAAAAGCTCCACTCTAGCTCATCCACCAGATATGGGCTTGAAATCTACAAGGGGCAGAGTTAAGGGTACACAAACAAGGGATGTATTTAAAAGCACTTTAACTCGACCCTCACTTCTGTTCTGTAGGCTGGAATTTATAGGGGAGGTTCTCCGCCTGGGCTATGCAGGAGGGTAGAATGGAAAGACTGTAGTTTCTTTGTAAATTTTCAAATCTAGAAAGTCACAGGATCATTCATAAACACCAGAGAAAGAAAGTGTGAAGT